ATAATATTTAATAACATAATATTTAAAAATAAAAAATAAATTAATTATATATATAATTTATTAATTAATAAAATAAATATTAATCACTCGATTAAATATATACAAATAAGGATATTTTGTAAATTATTTTTAAAAAATGTTACTTTTACATGTCATTTCATGAAATATCATATTACTTAAATAATGAAAAATTATAAAAAAATAATTTTTAAATATTAAATTATTAATAGGATCAAAATTTTTATTTTAAAAAATAAAAAATTCAAAATAAAATTATAAATTAACAAAAATAAACCCACTGACATTATAATTTAGCCAAATAAATAAAAATCTTACCCTTTGTTTATATACTTACAAAATTCTCACAAAAAAAAGATATGCTTTGAAATCTTACCCTTCATTTACATAGTTACAGATCCTACGGTGCAAAAATAACTTTCCATGGTGGGAGACCAAGCCTGCAACAAAACTAAACAGGGAACAGAAAGTGGTGGATTCGATCCATTGCTGCGCAAACAAACCCAATCCCCAACTTCTGCTCATAGGTAAACTTTCCTCTTCTCTTCTTCATGCGCTCTGATTTTCAGTCTTCCTTAACTCATCATTGATATTCATCTGCGATTTTCTTCAACTCTGTGATTGCCATCTTTACCATTCATTTTCTCCTGTCACAACTACTCGAATCTTGATACCTCTGGGTTAGATCAACCATTCAACAAATAAAAGAGCCTTTTCAAGCAGAGCTTTTCGTATTGCAAATTTTCGTAAATCAAGAGAGGGATATACTTATTCTCAAGTTACAATAAGAGTTTACTTAGTAGTTAATAGGAAAATAATAATAACATTTAAAGAAGAAATAGTAGTGTCCAAACAGAGTCTGTTGCATCTAAATAAGTGTTTCCTGCACTATGATTAACAATAAAAATGATCATGGCAACAAACCTTGTTTGGATAAACTTCTGTGCCGGCGCTTATAAGATAAGAAAATAAGCAGGTAAAATGAATTAAACCTCTTTTGTAAGTAGAACTAACTTATGCACTTCAATTTTTATAGAAGTTTCCTGATCTAACTTCTCCAAAAGTCGAAATGCATGTTAATTTTGAATTCTGGAAAATTTGATTATTATTTTTTGTTTCTTATATTATTAGTACTTATAGAGAAGTTTTTTCAAACAAAGCCTTATTGGATTATATAGTGGAAGCTCTTTATGACTTGTTTCTTTGTGTTTAGCATTTGCTCCGTGAACCATTGCTCTTTGTTAATTTGTGTGGAAGATGTAATTGAGTAAGTGATTCTTGTGTAGCATTTAATTTAGTCAAGTTCTGATAGAGAAAGCATCATAACATGGCACTTTGCTGTTTTGTTATATTAATTGATTCTTGGGGAAAATGACATGAGACTAGTACCTAGTGTTGTTGTGTAAGCTTTGAGTTTATCACAACAGTCTTCTTAGTAATGGTTTGATGCAGTGTGCTTTCTTTCCTACATTTCAGGTTAAGTGCTTAAAATTTCTGATGTAGTGTAGTTCTTCATTCACAGTTATCACTTTTTAGTAGATCTTGTACAACCTATGAGACAGGAATTTCCGTTACTTATGGCTGTTGCATATGCAGATTCTAAAGAGAAAAGTCATCTTTCTATTGCGGGATACTGATTGCAATCTTGTGGTTCGATTTGAGCAACTAAAACAGGTTTGCATTGTTAAATGTTCTAGACCGCTAATATGTTATCAATTGAATTTGTTAATGTTGTTTAAATAGCTTTCTTATATTTAGTTACGTGGCATTTGGTTTTCACCTGGTTTATGGAAGTCAACATAAGCTAAGTGATGATAAATGATAAATACAGCATTGGCTAGCATATCATAATATTAGCTAATGGTAAGTGTTTTACTCATGTTGTTTTATGATCTTAGGGATATTACTTTTGGTGAGGGTTATTTTATATTTGATTTGATATAACTGCCTTCACTAGGATCGAGCTGGCTGACTGTGAGGGAACACTTGCACAACATTCTGTTTTAAGTACTGGGGACAACTATGGAGAGAGAGACCAACGAGTGTTTTTTGGCATTTTGGGAAGTAGGAGCTTTTTGCACAGGATATAGGAGGTTAATTCCTCTAGTTTTTTTGCGCTGTAACTGAGAGGAATGCCTTCTGATAGAGGGATCTTCTCTTTTAATTAATAAATAACACCTTACAGTTTGCATAATGCATTTTCACCTTTGACTTCAAATGAAATGTTTGTTGCTTTTTTAAAGAGTCCATAAATTATCATGCACAATATCACATTAAAAATAAAAATAATCAGGCCTAAGAATCCAATCAAGACTGTGGCTCATGGTTATAAAATTCCAATCATTCTCACCAAGTCACCAATTAATCATCATTAATCAGAGGTTAAGCATGTATCAAGTATCATCAAGCATAATAAGCTCTCTTTTAATTAGCACAATTGCAACAGGGAAAATGAATGTATAAGGCGCTCCCAAAACTAACAAATTGTGTTAACCATTGTTTCAAGGAGTAATTGCATGAATTAAAGGCTAAAACTGGGACAAATTTTAAGAGAGAAACCTATCTCAGACCAGCCATGGATGAGCATTATATATATGTATATATAGCTAAGAGAAAAGAGGGTACAACTGAAAAAATGAAAAAGATTCAGGTCTTAAGTTGAATATTCATATAACAAGAGTGTTCTAAATAGTTGAAATCAAATCATCCAACTGTTTACCACTCAAACAATTTTTAAACCAAGTATCCTTGCAATTCAGATTTCACTCACAAAAGATCAAAATATACATGATACATGTCCGTGGGACTGATATTCCTGTTGAGTGAGGGATCTTGTGCCAAATTTTGACAGGTTGTCCATGTACCAACAGTGAATAAGAGAGTCAACTAACACACATGATATGATACTTGATTCCATAAAATAGCAAAATATAGAAACATCTTGATAAGAAAAACACAGTCAGGATTTCAGCATGGGTTCACAACTCATGGGAGATAAAATGGCATGATGAACAGTAGGGCAAGTTTCTTTCTGTGAAACTCAAAAAGAAAACAACAAATAGCCATGAAATTTTAGTACAAAAATGGGTGGGTTATCATCAGAGTGCTGACTGGTAAGAACTTTATGCCCCTATCTTCTTCCTTCAATTATTCTTATTCCTTTCTCAAGTTTTTCACTTGCTTCAACAGAGAATAAGGCATGAGCTTAAAGTTTTTTTTTTTTTTTCTTCCAAATATTAGAAAATTTAAATGGAAATAAGTTAATAATTAAATTATGTTCCTAATTTTTTTTTTTAATTCTACAAACATACTTAATATTTTACAGGGTGTTACATATTCCAGATTATGTCCCAACTTTCCTGTTTTGTAGGATATATCTCATGCCCATAATTATTGTCTAATAATACAAAAAAAAGAAAAAAAGTTTACATCGGAAATTGTTTTGCTATGTAATCACAACTTGGTGCAATAGTAATTGGCAACTTTTTCTGAATGTCAGAAATTACCAACCAACCAACCAACTATTTCATTTGGAACTAGACCTGATTGAAATTTCTGAATTGTTTTGAGGATTCAATTGAATTAATTAATTCCTTAGTAACTAAAATGGACACTGGATAAATGTTCAGGATTGAAGTCTATATTAACTTCACTCAATCCCTTCAAGAAGTCACTGGAAGAAGTGATAGCACCGCTCGGATGAATAACGTAGGGACACTCAAGTCTTCAAGTTCTGAATTGGATCTTGATCGACCCAACATTGAGGATTACCTCCCTTCTGGATCCACCATTCAACAAGAACCTCATGGAAAGCTTCTCCTGTATGACCTATTCTTTTCCTTGTCTTGCTTGCACTGTTATTTGGATACTGAATATAAGTTCGAAATGAAAAAGCAGTATTTTCTTCACTTGATCTATTCAAGAATGAAATTTCAGTCATCATTTTAATATTACTTGTTTTCTTTCTGATACTTTTTTCAGGCATGATTTGCTTGACATTTCTCCTACTTTGTCTGAGGCAGCAGGTGCTATTGTAGATGTAAGCTTTTGTGCAAATCTTTTATTTGTCATTTCCTTGTTTTGTGGTTTTGATGTGTCAGTATTTTCTTTTAGAGAGCCAATAATGTTGATATTATTATAGAGAAAACTTAAATATCAAACATAATGAGTTCTGCATCTTTTAAATGCTGAATACTGTTCTGCTTCTATGAATATCCTTCTCTGCAGATCTTATGTTTCATTGTCATGTTGTTTTAGGTCATTGCTGAGATCAGTAAATTCTATATTAAAATCTCAATCTTGGGATAGAATATATGTGTATGTGTGCATGTTGCACCTTGGCTAGGCTTTGGTGGTTTGTTCATTGGTTTTGAACTTTTAATGTTGGGCAGGACTCATTTACAAGATGCTTCAAGTCAAATCCTCCCGAACCATGGAATTGGAATGTTTATTTGTTCCCTTTATGGTGTTTTGGAGTTGTGATTCGATACTTGATTCTGTTCCCTATCAGGTTAGCTTATTCCTAAATCCCAATGCTATGTGTCATGTTCATATAATTATTATGAAATCTTGCTATTTTAGAGTCTACCTAGCAAATTTTAACTGCTTTTTATATTTTTTCCCGTTGTAGAATTAGGTACCGAGATTAACAGTGTTTTTAGAAAATATGATTCTTAGGATATAATTAATGATTTGAACTTCACCTTTCACCACATCGAGTTACACCTTTTGTGTTTGGTCTATTTGTCTGTCTCTACTCCTTTTCATGTTGAGACTTGAGATAGTGAAAAAGGTTTTCTGAATTCTGAATTGCTTGAGGAAATCCCCAACATGATTAATTATATGCAGATGGTTTACGGTATCTAATATTAGGGAATAAGGATATAAATCTCTAATATTAGAAAACTAGGAAAATATACAGTCCCTGAATAGGAGATATTTTCCCTAAATAGGATATACAATTAATTGGTTGCTTTACAATCATTTTTTATGTCTAAGTGATGCCATCCTAATTGACGCTGCAGGGTTCTAGGGTTAACATTAGGATGGATAATATTTCTTTCATCCTTCATTCCGGTGCACTTCCTATTGAAAGGACATGACAAGTTACGGAGAAGTATTGAGGTGCATATTTAACTTATTCTTCATTCCATCTTTTTCTATTTAAATATTTTGCTTAAAATTGGTCTCTTTGTCTTACTACTAATACCACAGTTGATGACCATTCCAGCAGCTGAGCAGCATGAAATAAAAATAAGCTCTCGACATTTTAATTTTTTGATTCAGATTACCTTTTGTAGGATAATACATTTCTGGTTTAGTTGTCAAGTTATACATAGTTTTTGGTAACAACCCTATAGCGGTGCTAGGAACATATATTTGGAAGAGTAGAGCTATGACAACCTCTAGGAGATGGCGATTCTTTATTTCTGCAATCCCATTTTATTGGGGGTATTAACACATGTTAGTTTATGAACAATGCCACATTATTGGTGATAAATATAATAACTCACAATTTATATATTTAGTATCATTATTAGATTTGATTACAAACTGATTTTGGACTAGATGGAAAAAAATTAATGAATATTTGACCAACCGCATATTTATTTTTCATAAGATACGTCCATGTTACCCGTGTTTAGTCATTAATATAGGTCATAAACCATTTAGCACTAGATATAGATTCCAAAACAGGTCCCCACACATCAAAATGTGTCAAGTCAAAGGGAGAAGAACTTTTATTACCACTAATTGGAAAAGAAGAATGATGGTGATTAGACAACTAACAAACATCACAACTAAACAAACAATAAACACTTTTGTAAACAAATAATGAAATAAAGATTTAAGAAGGCCAAACAAAGGATGTCCAAGTCTTTTACGGTGAATCCATATTTGAGAGGTAGCCCAAGTGTTTGTCTTTGCATATTGGCTTGAGGTTGACTCCATGTTCTTGGGATTGATATTCTTTTGCTCTAGGAAATAGAACCCACCATGTTCTTTAGAAATTAAAATGGTCTTTCCTCTTGAAAGTAACAATGAGAATAAAAAATTGTCACTGAACAATCAAGTCTGCAATGAACTTTTTGTTATAGAAATAAGACTATTGGCCAATTTTGAGACATGTAAGACATTATTATGTAATAAAAGAGAGGGCTCTAGTTGAATGTTGTTGAATCCAACAATAGGCGCATTATCTCCATTAATAACCGGGATGAATTGTTTGTTGTTTGGTTGGAATGAGGCAAAGAGTGAAGGAAAGGGAGTCATGTTATTTGTTGTTCCAAAATCAAGAATCCAAACTCCTTGAGAACTCTTACCCTTCATACCGAAGCCAAAAGTCTTACTCAGATTCAATCATTGTTATAAGGCGATGAATCTCTTCCTTAAAGGCTTTAATATCCTGTTCAGGTTGGGATTGGATAGCTGGTGGATTTGCCTCCTCGTGCTATGAGATTGTATGATTGACCCAATTTTTTGCAACTCCTTTGTTTCCATCCATTTGTCTCTATTGTGAAGCTTGAAGCATGTCTCCTTAGTATGCCTTGGCTTTTTGTAGTACTGGCAATATTCCCCACAATTACCTTTTGCTAAAGGCTTTCCTTCAGAAGCTGTCCTTCTCCAGCAATGGATCCCTTGTAAGATACTTTCCCTGTTCCCATAGTTGAACCAACAGAACCATAAAAAATGGGAAAAGAGGAGACTTAGATCCAAGACAGATGGTGTAGAACTAGACGACACCACTCCCTGTGATGGATTGGGGTTGCCGCCAAGCCTATCTGGGTGGTTGCTGGCAAGTGGGTCTTACTAAAGATGGGCGCATGACCTACACTCACAAAAAATGGGGCGATGGGTGGTGGCATGTTAAGAAGAGTTTTGATCTAGGTCTCATGGTGTTGTGATCACCAGCGAAGGGTGCACCTTCCTGGTGCACCACCAACCTCAATGGTGGCATCAGCAACGGTAGGAAGGGAAGTAGCAATTCTCTTGGGCAAGGCAGCAGAAGTAGAGCTTCCAAGAGTGGAAGATCTGATACCAAGCTGAAAGGGCTGATTATATTAATTTGTATCACACTAATTACATTTGGTTATCTCTCTATTACAGGGATACAACACTCCCTAAATAAGGAAACTATAAAAAATAAGGAAATAAGGAAAGAATACAAAATAAAACATAATCCCCTAAAATACTCCTTTTTTACAATACTTTCTAAAACCTATTTTTGCCTGAGTCGTTTTGGGGGCCAAGTTGACTTTTCCCTCCCCCATTTTCAGATCTTAACAAAACTCTTGTTGGATGTAGTTTCCCATGCTCCTCTCTTCTTTGGACCAACATCCACCCACCTTTGGCAGTATCTCCGATCAATACCTAAACTGTGATGTGACACATTTACCTGAGTGTTTTGCTTAAGACCTATGACTTTAATTGTCAATTATAAATATATCATAAATTGAGTAATTATTTAATTTCTGAGCATTTATTCATATAAAAAAAAAATTCAAAATGGTGACCATCCTTCTGTACTGCTTTTGGGGTTGGTTGCTACAGATACTGCTACTATTCAAGATTGATAACTGTATATACTTCAGCCTGTGTCCAAATTTTGGTATCTCCTTGTGCACTTCATTTTCAGCATTGTAAATTTTAAGATTCATTTCACATTTGTTTCAAGTATCTATATCTAGCTTCAACATTTTGCCTCACCTATTGGATGAAACATGGCCTTTGCCTTATTTCTACTTTTATTTTTACTATAAATGATGGTTTTTTTTTTTTTTTTTTTTTCTCTTGAAAGAAGAATATTGATATCCAATTAATAGTTGGGTTTGTTGGAAAATAAAATATTCTTGAATGGCCACTATTTAAAATTTAAATAATTAAAGATTAAATAGACTAAAGGGACAGTTAGTAGATGTTAAATAGACTGGTGAACCAGTTTTTTTTATTTTTTATTTTTTTTGTTGAAGTTCCATAAAACTAATTTTGGCCTTGTTATTTAAAGATGTCCTCCATGTATTGATTTACTGAATTGACGATGCTGTATGCAGTGGAGTGCTCAGTACATGTTATTTTCCTATTCTTGTTTGTCATGGCATGAATTGTGTAGTCTCTAACGTAATCACTCTTTTCTCCTTTGCCGAGTATTAACTTTGTGACATTTTTCATCAAATTATGTGTCGTAAATTGTTCATTTCCTTCAGAGGTCTTTGGTAGAAATGATGTGCAGTTTCTTTGTTGCATCTTGGACTGGGGTTGTTAAGTATCATGGACCAAGGCCAAGTAGGCGACCAAAGCAGGTTTGTTTACTATTGATGTATTATCCTTATTTACATATTCAACAAAGAGTAAATGTTATTATTAATTACTAATTGGAGCTTCCTGTTCATTTGTTGAGCAGGTTTTTGTGGCCAACCATACTTCCATGATTGATTTCATTATCTTAGAACAGATGACTGCTTTTGCTGTTATTATGCAGAAGCATCCTGGATGGGTTGGTAAGCATATGTGATACACAAAACTTGCGTCTTCATTATCCATAACAAGCTTTATTTCTAACTTCTAAGCTTTAGTATGTTGATGTTTATATGCAATTACACAGATTTCTAACTACTAAGAGAATGTGAATAGTTCACCCCAAAGGCCCAAATATGTGAAAAAAGAAAAGAAGAAAAACTTAGGTTTAAGCCCTCTATTCTTATGCATTCTATATTTTGCTGTTGGGTGGTAGTCTAAATGACTGTCTGGAAGAATAGAGTACGTGAATGTGAAGAACAATTAGTGGTGATTTTATACAAACTTATAGCTTGGTAATCTTGAACTGTATCATAATTTATTTTGTAAAAAAGGATAAATTTTAAAAGAAAATAGCTATTGTGCAGGATTATTGCAAAGTACCATTTTGGAGAGTCTAGGATGCATCTGGTTCAACCGCACAGAGTCAAAGGATCGGGAAATTGTAGCAAAGAAGTGAGTATAAATAAAGATTTTAGAAAATTTATTTTGGATCTAATTCTTTATTACTCAAGGAGATTTTTCATGTTTCAGATTGAGGGACCATGTCCAGGGAGCTGATAACAACCCCCTTCTCATATTTCCTGAAGGAACTTGTGTAAATAATCATTATACAGTCATGTTCAAGAAGGTATGTGAATTGTTTGCAATTGCAGTCAATGTAAAATGCTGTTATGTTCTCCTATCATATTTGTGGAATAGATTTTTCATTTTTTTCTTTTGTACCTGTTGACTTATATTCCCGTTCCTGTACTCAGGAAACTTTTATTTAAGCTTTCTAATTTTCCGTGGTGTTTAGGGTGCATTTGAACTTGGCTGCACAGTTTGCCCGGTTGCAATCAAGTACAATAAAATTTTTGTAGATGCTTTTTGGAATAGTCGAAAGTAAGAACATGCTTCTTATGTTAATTGTTTCTGTAACACTTTTTATTGCTGTGATAGAAACGTTGCATTTTGTGCATTTGCAGGCAATCATTCACTACGCATCTGTTGCAGCTAATGACATCTTGGGCTGTTGTTTGTGATGTATGGTACTTGGAACCGCAAAATTTGAAGCCAGGAGAGACGCCTATTGAGTTTGCAGAGAGGTAAATAATGTTGATCCTGATTGTATGTTGAGGGATCTATGTTTGGCTTTCTCTTGGTCTTTGAGATAGTCGCTATTCTATATAATTAATTATGCAGGGTGAGAGGCATAATCTCAGTTCGTGCTGGCCTTAAAAAGGTTCCTTGGGATGGATATCTGAAGTATTCTCGTCCTAGCCCAAAGCACAGGGAAAGGAAGTAAGTTAAATTTCTGGATTTTTCGTGGTGTCCAATTTGCTGTCATATGGTCTATGGCATAGGTGTTATAATTGAAATTATGAATTGTGTTATTTTGCTTTCCTAGTAGTGTGGTGGATCTTATTATTGGTCAATGGTCAGTTGGTCATCCAGTTGTTTGGTTAAATACTAAAATACAATATTTGTTTATGTTGCAAGTTGCAACAAATTCCGTTGAATACACCCAAAATCTAATCTAAAAAGTGTTATCCTTTCTCCTTTTCTTGTTCCATGGTCCGCAGGGTTTCAAATTAAAAAAATCATATAAATAATCTTCCAAGTATTAGAAAACATACTAAAGTAGTCTCTCAAATATTAAAAGATTCTTCAAATTGGTCCCCTTAACTTTACGTAGTATTTGGTTGGAAGGGAATGAAGAGGAGAAATTATTTTTTAAAATTTGTCTTGTTTGATTCAAATTTTAGGAGAGGAGAGTAGCAAAATCTCTAAATCCAATTTTATCTCCCCTCCAATATTGGGAGGATTAGGAGGGGAAGGAAGAGGTTCTAAACATTTGTAGTATAATGTCTAAAATATTTTTATTTATGTTTTAAAATATAAAATTATAAAGATATAAAGGTAAGTTGGCTTTTAAAATCCCCTCCTCCCTTTGTGAATCAAATAGGAAAAGAGTTACTTCTTTCCTCCACACAACCAAACAAATTTTCTAACTCTTCTCCTCCATTGTCTTCTCTTCCCCTTCCTTCTTTTGAACCAAATAGACCCTTAGTAAAATATATTAAAATACAGATTAAACCTATGGATCTTTAATACTTTTAAGAGATTACTTGTGTAATTTTATTAGGCTACTTAGTAGCGAGAGTAATGGAACCAAATTGCTGGTTTATTCAAATTTCATTTGTTAGAATTTACATGAACCATTCATGTTATATATATATATATATATAATTTGTTGATTATTAGATGTGTGACGTTACTTAATTTGTTGATTATCATGCTTTTGTAGGCAACAGAACTTTGCCGAGTCAGTGCTGCGGCGATTGGAGGAAAAGTGATGTGTACCTCTGTGTATATCGTTCTTAGTTATGCTATTCTCCAACACCTCCTCCCCCCCTGTTTTTTTTCAATGCTGCTATTTATGTTTACATTTATTCAGACATGCATATATCACTCATTAACAAAGTTGTCCAATAAATTTTTCCTTGGATGGTCGCTGTCTTGTACTAACTGGTGAGAGCAAGATTTTTTTAGGATGAAAATTTTTGCAGTGGTTCCGAATCTGAATATTTACTAGGTCATTCAAATTCATGTTAGATAAGTAATTGTACATTCCAAAACACGGTTGACGGATACCGAAATAAAACACATGGTTAGGAATTAAGATCATTGCTACCAGGAAGGAATACTCGGCGTATGGAAGGCTACCTCCCTCAGTATGTGATATCTACGGGTATACATTATCAGAATGCTATTTGTGTTCGTGCTAATATATTTAGTATATGATAATTACTAGATTAATGAACTTTTTAACTTTCTAATATAAAAATATAGCTCGGTTCAATTTGGAGGTAATTTTACTTTTTTAAAATTAAAAATATTTTAATTATTTATATATCTTACAAAACTTTTTTTTTTTTTTTTATCTCCTTTATCAATACATGTAAGTTTCATAATCTTTTATTCTCTATTTTTTTCTTCTATTTCCTTCTTGCATCGCACATTTGTTTTTTTCCTCAAAGGGTTAAAATATGTATTCTTATCATTTTAATTTTTTTAGTTAAGAGAACTAAATACACCAATTTAATTCATTTAGTCTACTATGTGGATTATGTATAAGATAATTATGATCACTGTATTAAGTATATTTTTATAATTAACTAGTATATATATCTATAGAGAGAGAGGAGAGATCCGTTTACTCCAAGAGTAAGTTTACCTAAATTTACTCTATTCAATAATTTATATTCTATCTCAAATTTTAATGATCTAATCGTTGAATTTAATTAATATATAGATCAAATATGTAAATTTTTAAAAAATTTGAAAACAATTTAAAATTTCATTTCATTTTCAAATCAATGTATAAAATGATTTTATGATTATTCGTCAATTTGAATTAATGAAATAAAGTATCAAATGATTTTCAAATTTTTTAAAAATTTGTAAACTTGATCTATGCATTAAGAATTTTAAGTTTAATTGTTAGATTATTAGAATTTGATGTAGAACATTAGTTATTGAACGGAGTAAGTGCAGGTAGATTTACTCCTTGAGTAAATGGATCTTTTCTTTATATATATATATA